AAAAAAAAAAAAAAAAAAAAAAACTGAAGAAGAGGCATCTAAAAATGAGATGTCTTGATTGCATCAGTGTAGTAAATTAGGTTGAAAAATAGCAGGTTGTCTTTCTTCAGTAAACTTGTAATTATCTAAAGGTGGAGGATCAAAATTACAGATTAGGTCTGACCCTTTGCATTCAGCCTGTTTTTGTATTTTTGCCTTTTCTTAACCTGTTGTGAATATCTGAGAAGTTTCTCATTAGTGACTTTCATTTGTATCTGAAACTATAATACTTTTGTATGCAAAACTATGACAAACTATATTTCAGGGTGTAGAAAGCCAAGCTACACTATTTAGTACTGTATTTGCCTGATCTGTTGCAAGATTTTGAGACCAGAGAGACCAGTGAGTGAAACTGGAGGATTTCAAGTTCAAATAAAGAAAGAACAAGTGGTCAAAAGGGTTGGTTTATCCAGTAGCGTGAAACTGGTAGGTGTCGAGCAACTTTTCAGAAGAGACAAAGGCATTTAATCAAGCAGTGATAGTTTTGTGAATTAGCGGCAGCCAAAGGGAGGGGAAAGTGTAAGGGATTGCTTATTAAGATTTAGGAAACTCCCCTTTTGGCTCTCTGAGCAGCACCATGGCAGTAGGCAAGAACAAGCACCTTACGAAAGGCGGCAAGAAAGGAGCCAAGAAGAAAGTGGTTGATCCATATTCTAAAAAAGACTGGTATGATGTGACGGCGCCGACTATGTTCAACATAAGAAATATTAGAAAAACACTCGTCACCAGAACCCAAGGAACCAAAATTGCATCTGATGGGCTCAAAGATAAACCAACATGTTAGGATTACATATGTTTGAAGTGAGCCTTGTTGATCTGCAGAGTGATGAAGTTGCCTTTAGAAAATTCAGTCTAATTACTGAAGACATTCAGGGCAAAAACTGCCTGACTAACTTCCATGGCATGGACCTCACACATGACAAAATGTGTTCTATGGTCAAAAAACGGCAGACCACGATCGAAGCTCATGTTGATGTCAAGACTACCGGTGGTTATTTGCTTCAGCTGTTCTGTGTTGACTTTACTAAAAAACACAACAATCAGATACGGATAACCTCTCATGCTCAGCACCAGCACGTGCTCCAGATCTGGAAGAAGATGATGGAAATCATGACCCGAGAGGTGCAGACAAATGACTTGAAGGAAGTGGTCAATAAACTGATTCCAGACAGTATTGGTAAAGACATAGAGAAGGCTTGCCAATCTATCTACCCTCTTCATGATGTCTTTGTCAGAAAAGTAAAAATGCTGAAGAAGCCCAAGTTTGAATTGGGAAAACTCATGGAGCTTCATGG